AGGTGAAGTTTATAACTCTCACATAAAATTTAAATTGCCGTTAAAATGCGAACGTTGGAGATGAGGACAGGTGTGCGCTTTTTCAAATTTTAATTATATTGGACTAATTTGAATTTATTGCGGAAATTTTTGTGTATCTATCATATAATAAGCTATCATAGTATAAAAGAGAGTAGAAAAACGAAATTCCATAAAAGGGATTATTCGAGAGAATTCTATAAACTTTTTGGTACAATACATTGGTACACTTCTTAGCTTCGTGAGTGAATAAGTTTCCTTGAACATAATAGGAACTTTTACATGAAATGGATGAATTTGGTATACAACAACCATAATATTAATACTTTCGTAACCGTGCTAGTTTTATAACTTAAATCGGGTTTTCCAATAGGGATGATATGATTTCCAAGTATCGTTTCGCGCATTTTAAATATTTCATGATCTGTAATTTTTTTTCTTTGTATTCAGTAATGTTTACAATTTCATCCTGGAAAAATATATGAAAGACAATGTTTACAAATTTTTCAATTCCAAATAATCGTTCTAGAACTGCCACTTTTCCTGCGCATTTGCCATTTTATGGTCGCAATAATCGTCCACCTGCGCTCGCTATTCTAACTATAACTTTTTATGACCGCAATTGGAAGGAGTTGATCTTGGCAACATCTGGTTCCAAGAAGACTAGACTTTGCCACACAGCACGTGCAACAACCAAAATTTTGGAGATTCGATCATTTCAAGAAATTGTGACATTGAATGGCATCCAAGAAGTTGTGATTTGACACCATTAGACCACCTCTTGTGTATTTCAAATCAAATTTTATTTGATATATGATAATCAGTTAATTATGCTATATTGGAGATCGAGACTTGTGGCATTTAAATATTAAAATGCAATTAACGAACAACTCAAAAACCATCTTAGAAGGAATCACGATTCCAGTAATTTACGATTATACAAACAAAATCGTATTAAAGAAACTGCTCCACTCAAAACTATAATTTTATAACTGGTGGATATTATTAAATACTGCAATACGGTAATATTGTCTCTAATCAAGTATAACTAATCAAATATATATTGCTAGAATAACCAACAATTAAGTGCACAAATATGTCAGTTTCTTTTGTATAAAAATAACAAATAAAAATTTGTCGATTACTTTCGTGAAAAAAGTTCTTAAAAAATTGTATTTCTTCATAATTTGTTGGATTTGCAGTATAAAGAGCAATAACAACATAATTTAACGTTGTTAATTGGCTTTTTACAAGCAGTTTGAATTCTAAAACATTAAACGTAATTTTATTCAGCCCAACGCTGACGACAGGACCTTAAGCACATTTATTTATATCAACATTATTACAGGTGTCATGTTCACTTATGCCTTTAAGACTTTGTGTCGTATTAACTTTGTTTTGCATAGATAAATTTTGAACAATTTTCGCCCCTGGATAACTAAATTAGTGCCAATAATTCAGCAAAATATTGTTCAAAAGTACTGCAAAGATAATTAAAACATATATTTTTAGAGTGCATACAATTATTAGACAACAAATTTGAGTAATAGCCAAGAGCAAACGGAAATTGTATCAAACAATTTCATACACAAAATTTACATTTTAATAAACTTTAATGTCGCAAGGTGTGAAGTTATTAACAGTTTGTCACATAGATGGATATTTCTTTTTTAAATATGAAAATATCTATTTCAATACGCAGCAAAAATACTCGTATAACTTTAACTGAGGTGCAAACAATTTGTATACATACTTTCTAAATATTCTGCGAGCAAATATTTTACTTTCAGACTTGAGCTATTTTTACCATTTTGGGGTAGAACACATATATGTATGTACTTTGGAAAGTTGACACTTTATATAAAAATATTATACGTTTTTTAGCAGAGTCTTGGCAATGGTTTTAAACTAGATAGCTAAGTTTACACTATTCTATAACTAACCTCATCCTATAACCTTCATCCTTTAACAAGTTTCAGTTTAGAAATGTTTAAATTAATATTTGCTCAAAGGATTTACACATTACCACAGCTGTTTCATAGTATTTAATTCTTCAATATAATAACATTGCAAGAGATTTTAATACATACAATTGTTTCGATATTATTTGCATTCCAAAAATAAAATTTATATAACAAAATTTTACGTTTGGAAATGTCTTCAACACTCGCTATTTTAAACATATATAAAGTCTCTTACTCAGCACGTAATCAAGCAAAATAAACACAGCATTTTGGCAGCTTCGATTAGTAGCTATCCTCGGGGTATATGAAATTGAAAATTTAGCAAAGCTGATTTCTCACGAAATACCATTATTTATTGCTATAAACTCAAAACCCCTTCCACAATTATGTCCTGCATTGCCGTTGGGGAAATATGTATTTATACGAAAACCATTGAAAAATCCAGAACGTGATTTCTTCATATTTTTGCACTGTTAAGTTTTCATACTTGTATGTACTTATGTAGGCATTAAAGCCCGTATTTATTTTATGTAAGCGCATATTAAATATATAATTAATTGAAATAAAGAAGTAAAATAGAGATGGTGGATTAGTATCAGAAATCTTTTGGATGCTCTGATTTTCGTTCGTTAACTTTGTGCTGTAAAGCGTATCAGACCATTTAATGGGATTGTTTCACTTAGCAATACTTTATGTGGTACCAAAAATTGTATCACACATTTCATTTCATATCCTAATTATACAAGTATTAAAAAAATTTTGTAGATCCGAAAAGTTTAAACGCCATTTATTTGTCCACATTTTATTTTAAAAGTCTTTCTTTACTTCTTACATACTTTGAGCCGAAATTTATGTTGCAATTTGTGTTTCTTGTGAAAAATAAGGATACTTTAGATCTGTAAATACATCAGAACTTACTTTACCCATACATATATATTATGCTGCCCGTTAATTCCAAAGTTATTGAGATTTTTCACGATAATTTCCTCCAAAAGTCATACGCAGTTAAAATTATACATCAAATGACTTGAGCATTCAAACAAGTGATTTCTTCATTAACACATGCGCTTAAAATGACCGTGCCTAACAAAGAAAACAAGTTTTTATTTGTTCGAAATTGGCTTTATTTATCAATATAATCTCCATCAAGACCTAGCAATCGTTCCAGCGCTGCTTTAACATTTCAATACACTTCTGCCTCAAAATAGTCCTCAGTTTCAGTGATAAGCACTTCATTGAAGCGAAATTTCTTACCGGCGAGCAGTTTTTTGAGGTCTGCGAACAAGTAATAAAGAAAAAATTCCGGTTTTTTCCGTTTAAACATGGCCAAACACTGCTCAGAATCATCAACACGTTGCTGTGTTTGGTCAACAGTCGGAAAACGCGGCACACACTTTGAACAGAGCTTTCTCATGAACAAATGCTCATGCAACATAAAGCCAACGCGTTCTTTTAAAATCCTTATGATGTCAGCTAAATCACGCAACTTTACTTTCCGATAATTCAGAATGATTTTATGGTTTTTTTATGTGTTCTGGTGTTACAGCCTTATTCGAACGCCCACTGTGTTTTGCACTGGTTTCAACGTTTTATTGTGGCTTCTGATAGTGCTGAGTCCCCATAGCACTTTTCATGCTATTGCCTCAATTGAACGGTATTTTTTCCCATCAAGAAGCAGTGTAAAATCAAAACACGAAATTGTTTATCATACTTGGTTTTTAAAATAACAACTGTAGCGTCACTCTTAGCACAATAACTCCCAAACTAATAAATATAATGTCATTAAATTTCAACAGATGTCTTTTGAAGGCTAACTGAAAATGAGGTGTATTCAGTAAAACTAGCGACATCTATGTGATCTATGTGACATTAATTTTTTTTTTGGAGATAAAACCTTGTTTTAAAAGATTACAATTACACCTATTTTCGGCATTAATGTTCAGTAAATTTGCTAAGACATCTTATTCATGGATCAATATATCCTGCATCTTTGTATTCCCATCTTGACTGTGGTGCCGTTGACATATATGGATAAAATTTATACGGTTGGAAAGGAGAAGACGTGCAGAAGTGCACAACGTTATTTTTCATCGAAAACACAGGTAAAATGCGTTGTCGCAAATTTAGCGACCAACCATGGTGGCGTGTTTAATATAACAATAATATTAAGAACTTAAAACTAATTATTCTACAAAATTGTGAATGGATAACAAGCAAATAAACGTATTTTAATGTTATGTTATAGGTCACAGACACACTTAGTTGTATTACTATATTTTACTTCGCGTGAGCCAAATTATATTAAAATCATATAAGCTCAACCGAAGAGTCTAAATTTAATATATTGAGTTGATATGCCAAACGTTAAGCAGAAGATCGCATTTGATTATACTAGGGTGGCTATGGTTGATTTTTTACAAAATTATCGTCAATAATCAACATTGTTGAAATCAATTTGGCCAAGAGTTCAAATTGTTCGTTTACAGCCGTACTTAGTCTTTCCTTACTTGTTTGAAATAAAGTTTTGCGCCCGAACTCAACCCGTCCTTATGTTTTTATTTATCGATCAGGTAGTTGATATTAAAAATTAATTATTAGGGATTAACAAAAAAGAATTATATACTTGTTATTTCAATTATTTTTTTAATGTCCAGGAGCTGTGGTTCCAACCAGACGGCGCAACATGTCACACAGCTCGTGCCACAATCGATTTATTGAAAGACACGTTTGGTGACCGCCTAATTTCACGTTTTGGACCTGTGAATTGGCCTCCAAGATCTTGTGATTTAACACCGCCAGACTACTTTCTGTGGGTTTATGTAAAATCATTGGTCTATGCGCATAAGCCACAAACGCTTAACCATTTGGAAGACAACATTCGCTGTTTCATTGCCGATATACGGACTACATCCGAGCTTGCCGTGGCGGTCATATACCAGAAATCATATCTAAAATGTAATGCCACAAGATTATCTTTCGGATAAAGACAATTCATGTCAATCGAATAATCCATCGTTGTTTTATTGCAATTTAAAGTGCTATAAGACACATTTACAAACAATACAATATATTAGTAAAATAATTACGTCACAAGATGGCGGTTGACGTAATCTTTTAATCTATAATTCTTGCATACTTATGTCTAACGCTACTGCTAGTAATTAACCAAATTTTTAATAGTAACCAAAAGGAACTTTGGCTGGAAGGAAAAAAGGAGACATTTAAATATATGGTCCTTGCTTTCATTTCTCTCACCAGAAAGGATCTTAGAAATTACGGTAATTTGCTATATATTATAAATATTATATATTTAATACTCATACTTACCTACTTGTACCTAGAGCACAGAATATTAAAAGAGGAAAGTCGCCGTTTGTAAAGTAATTTTCGTTATTGAATATAAAATATTTTTGTAGAGTTTGTATTTACCGGCATGCTTAAATTATGTAATATAAGGCTGTTAACAATTCAAACTAAGTTCCGTATATTTTACTTATTTAATATTCCAAGTGTATTTTATACTTTTATATATATACCAGTGTGTCTTGCCGACTTAATACCATTCGCACAATTTTAAACCTTTCAAAAATATTCTCACCTAACTCTTGAATAAAATTCTGAAATAAACATATGAAGCATAAATAATATAATATTTCGACAACTTCTCTGTACTTAATCGATTGATGTTCGGTATGTTTAGTATATTATCATTTGAAACATTTCGATCTTAATTATAGATTTACAACTTTAGCTGCTTGATTGTGTAGCTTAAAGGACCTAGTATTTACTAATTGCACTTTGAATAATTGATTTCGAAAAGTTATGTTTTACATTCTTCTCAACTTAAAATTTTACTCATTCCCATTCCAGAAGACCAACTCCCAGTGGACCATTACTTATTTGACCATTAAATGGCAACATAAAATGGAATTAATTGTGCTCCGAGGAGCATCTTATTTTTTTTCTGTGCGTTTAAATATAAAATAGCATTTTTAATGTCTATGCAAATGAACGGGAACTAAATTTTCCATAGACACTGCAACATCATTGGTCGCTTTCTATACTATCAATGCAGCAAACGTATCAATGGCACGTGACACTCGCAGAATACCAAACGTTTAATTAAGCAGAATTAATTCACGGGAGCAAAGGTATATATAGGTGAGTGTTAACTGGAGTGAGTGGAAACTTGGTCATTCAATTAGAAGGGCCATGGAAAAGTTTGCAAGCAAATTAAAGTATCTTATCCAATCAATTCAATTTAAGCACGCGTACTGTGTTATTTCATTGTAACAAAGAAAATAATAATTATACATATATATCGATGTTGTTACATCAACTATATCGTATATATATTGTATATATGTATATTGTATGTAGTAAGTTATTGAAGATATTGCAGGCTAAGCAGTGCAAGTAATTAATTTTTGGGAAATATCTGAGATTCACATTTAACAGTCTGTATCATCTCTATCAGTGATTCCTGTTTTATCTATTAATCTCAGACTCTCTGGCATTTCGCAAAAGTTACTATTTGCTGCAATATTTGCTCATTGCAACATGTAAAATAATATATTATTGCCATATTTATATATTATTATATTTATATATTATATTACACTCATGACTCTCAGAACCTTAGTTTCTCTAATAATATATATGTACTTACCAATATATTTTCCTGGCTAATTTCGAAAGAAATAGCCCGATGATGCCGCCATACCACATTCCGCACCAAACGGTAAATTTTTGGGGATTTTGAAGATTCGACTCACCGCAATATCGACAATTTTGTTTGTTGACGAAACCATCAATCCAGCACTCTTCTGAAAGACCGTGTTTTCCAGTGTAACGTGACAGGATGAAATAGCAAACCTTACTGAACATACTGACAAAATTTTACCGAAATCTGTAAACAAACATGGCCGCCACGAGCTGTCAAAATCATGTCATCCCTATTGGTATATGGAATATATATATGTACATATATATTATAACATCGGTATATATGATGATGTGTTTATGAGACAATGCTTCAAAGTTTTTGGCTCATTTTTTGCCTAATAAAAAATTCAGTTCAAAACTTGTTACTTTCACCCTTTTGAATTATTTTAAAGTGTAAAACTTTTGCACATCTACACAATAAGCACGAATAAAACGGCCATAACATAAATTTATCTGCTGTTGAGCAATAAAAGCTGTTTATGGCCACCTCGTTTGAGAATTTTTGGAGAGAAACTTTCTCGTGGCAAATTTTTTTAATTTATTTATAAGGCTCTTGGGTCTTTTATGGTATGATTTTTATTATTTTATAAATGTTTATACACATGTGCATAATGCTATTTGTATATTGACCCTTAAAATTAAATGATTATTAAGTCATTAATTTTTCTTTAATAAGCCAGTGGCTTCAAGTTGGAAAGTAATATATTGGTTGTGTGGTGCTGTAAATACGCCATTAGTTAAATAAAAAAAGGAAAAATGTTGCATTTCCTATAAAATAACAAAGTATAAACAGATCTTCATCATTATCAGATATACGCTATAGTTGTCCGATCTGAACAATTTATTTCAAGACTGTACCGCTGCATTGGACAATACTCTATGCAAAATTTCTGAGAGATATATTTTCAAATAAAATTTCCATAGAAAGGCTTGAGGGTATAGCTCTCCGATTTGTAAAATTTACTCGGAGCGCTGCATTGGGCACTATTTCGAGCCAAATTTTGTGAAGGTACGCTGCCAAATAAAAAACTTTTCCATACTGAGATTGTGGATTGATCGATATGTTGGTACGTACTTGTAGATATAGTGGTCCTTTAGCGGCGATTCTGACAAATGTGCAGCTTCTTGGTGAGGTTACAAATTTCGTGGCAAACTTAATATACCGTGTTCTGGGTATAATATTATTAAGGTATCAAGTACGATGCAGTAAAACCACGCTTAACGCGCAGGATACGTTCCGTCAAGGAAGAGCGCAAAACGAAACAGCGCTAAACGAGGCTATCTTAACATATAAATAATGGGGTTAGCGGAAGATGAATAGAAAATTGGTTACACAAAAATGTTGTAAGAGTATAAAAATACTAAATGCTAAGTTTATATATTTTATTTAAAAATCACATCTTTTTTACGAAAGTTCGAAAGAAATTATTATTACAAGATATTACACTTTGCTTAAGAGTTTTATATTGTAATAAAGAAATACCAAATAAATGATGCCATGCATTTCTTCATTAATTCTTAATGGTAAGTCTAGTTTAGAAGCAACGAAATCAATTCAAAATCGCGACAACCCCCCAAATACCGATTTTTTTATACAGTGTCTATTTAAATACTTTAGTGTTTCCGTTCTTCATAAATATACGTGCTTTATCTTTGTCTGTCTATGACAGTCTTTGGGCATACAAAGAACATTCTTATAATATAATATGTTGGTAAAGTCATCGTCTGTTTCTTGTCTTTTGCGCTAATCAGTTTACTTTAGGTATATTTATAGAAGCGATAATTATGTATGTCAAAAGCATCATCTTAAGCGGGTATGTGCTTTTTAGTCAAGAATATGTATATCTCATACGCACACATACTTAGACGAAGAAGTTTGTAATTATAAACTTTTATGCAATTAGCACCAATGTAATTTGTTTTCTACTTTATATGGTAAGTAGTTTTGACGCATTAACGTGTTAAGAATTTGAACATGTTTTAGAGGTAAACTTTGACATCGTTTTCCCAGAAGGATAGGCTTAGGGCAAAAAATACTTATTTAACATGAATAACAACGGGACGTCTGTTTAAGCTGGTGCTTACACTTCAATGAACGGGAAGTATAGTTCGGGTCTATGAATAAATGCTCAGGAATAAGTGCTTAATAGCGTCATATTCATAATTCTCATAAGTGCTGGCTACCCTTCGACCTTAGTTCTTATCTCCTCATTATTACTCAGCTCACGTATTAAGTACATCGAAAGGACAAAATAAACATATATTAGAAAATTTTAAATAATACCCAAAACAGAAAAATATATAACTACTTGTAAATGGAAAGCTAATAAAATTTTCAAGTTCATTTATTCACTCATTTATCTGAACCAAACTGTCCAATAACTTTCGAATACAATAATTACTTATACTTGTTTAAAATCGACGGATAGTTTATCATTTAAACAAGCACCGATTTAAATAGCATAGTCCAATAGTAACTATATTTTCTAAACAAACTGGCAAAAAAACAAAAACTACCCATTCTCTTGTGCGCTTCTAAAACAATATAGCAATTGGCAATTAAAAGCAAAATACTCTTTCCCGCAATATGTTGCTAAATTCCAGCCTAATGATAGGCAAACTTGCCCAACGTTTGCGGAGGAACACAAAAATGCAATACATCAAACGCATAATTTATATCAATTTTGAATAAATACAATAGATATGTTCATGTTCCTACACGCACACAATATATTTTCCGTATAGCCAATGTAAGCTGTTCCAGTTTTGTTTGTGCAAACGATGTGAGTCTAGAAGCCGCACATTTGAGACAAATTTATGTGTGATGCGGTCAGATAGCACTATATTTCACATTATTTTACCAAATGTTATTGATATTGCAGATATTCGTATTTATGTAGTTCTACTATCTTGTAAAATTTTCCACTTGTACTATTGATAAAGGCAGTTTATCATATTTGCTTGGTAACTAACTATCACGCGTTAGAGCTAGTATGAACATGAAAAGGTGTTTACCGTTCATATACTCACAACTCGAAGCATTATCGTTACGGAAAATTGGAGATTATATAAAAATTTTTAAAATAAAATTTAATATGGCTAAGTTCGGGTGTAACTAAACATTTTATACTCTCTCAACATTGCAAGCATCAATGCCTGAAAAAAAACCTCAGATGTATCCAAATTTTATGTTGAAAATTATGCCGAAACAATTCAATATTTATAGATCGACGAAATCGTGAACGGATTCTAATTAAATTTGGCACCTGACTAACTTTCTGCATTTCCGAAATATTAATATACTAATAAACTCAAATGAGATATATGTGACATAAAGTCAATCAATGCTTAACTTAATATATGTGGTATATGGGAAAAATATCAACCACTGGATGGGAAATCCCAATTTAATCCTGTACGAATGAAAATCATTATATGTTGTATATGGAAGCTAGAGTACTTCGTGGGTCACTGTGGCACATTTTTGGCATTCAACTATAATATGTCCAAAATTTTACATATTTTGTACTAAGATATCTTACTTATTGACCGATATACCATATATGGTATAAAACAAACCGAAAGTTTAAAATTCGTATATCCTTCTGTTAAATTTTATAACTTTATATTAATTAAAATATCATTTTGAATTGAAAATATCATACTCTGCTCTACAAAATGGTCAGCATAATTTTTTGATTAAGCAATTAGGAGATATTCATCGTCAGACATCAATGCTCATCAAAGGAAAAGGGAATATTTTTGTAGAGCATTAAATTTTCTATTAAATCTATAAAACGTGAAATTTTTTCAAACAGTTGGAATCGAGATATGAATGGTTCTAACTGATAATAAGAAAAAAATTGAAAATCGTTAGTCGGAGAACCTTCCCGTTACAATAAAGACCTCATACTAGGAAAGCCTTTCTTAGATGTGTCTACTAAACCAATTTTTCAGAGTTCAAAGCAAACAAAAACATTCGTGTTTTATGACCCCCCCTAATGTATGTGCCTGCACACATATAATTTCAGGATCGCATGATGCCAGCAAAGATGTAATACCTTTGCCTCGTGTTTTATGTTTTAAGGTGTAAACTGCAATTTAGCAAAGTAATATACAAAACATAAATTTTAACAAAACATGGAAAATAGTAATAAAACATCTACATATGTAAGTGTATATCTGGTTAATATTATATATTAATGAAAATTGTTAGAATATGTTAATATCAATGTTCATATTTACTTATAATTGGATTGGTAAATAAACTTTATGCAGCAATTATTTAAGTCTTAAAGTATAAAATCTTATTTAACTAAAAAAAATACATTTTCCATATACATTTTTGTCACCTTCATAAAATTTTTAAACGGCACAAGAGCTCAAACATACGCTATATCAGCTCGAACCTACCTTCACGACGCCATTTCGAAAATGATTATTTCATGATAGTAAATGCCTACACAAGAGCATTTCCAACCTCAATAGCAATGTATTTGACAGATGGTTAGCAATTTACACTGCCTATGGAGATGCGGCGGTACGAACAGGCGATCTCAAACTACGCATATTTGTATATACATATAAATATACCTATATGTATGATATAATATATATATCTACATACCAACATCAGTAAACGACGAGGGGCGACGCACGAGACTTCGGAGCGGTTGTAGTTGGTTACATACATATAAGTATTTCAGTGCGACTTATGGCCAACTCACATAGAACTTTTGCTTCGCTTCACGTCAGCCATTTGCTATGACAGAAAAGTTCGATGCATGTTTTTGTATGAGCATGTTCACATAAAGAAAATGTTTTTAAACTATAAAATGTTTTTGCTGATTTTCTTACGGTTTTATGTAAAATACACTATAATCATGTGTTATAAACAATTATTTTTAATAAATTTTTTACAGAAATGGAGAAGAAATGCAATTGCACCAATGTTTGTTCGACAAGAGTTACACAAGCTTTAGAAACAGATATGCTAAGGAACGGCCATGGCAGGCGGTGTGCACTGATACGGGAGTCTCAGGTTAGTATTTATTAGTTGTTGTAAACAAACAGCGGTGGAAGTCGTTGCTCGATAGGTTCGTGCGAGAGTTGGCGGCCCAAAATTTGAGAGCGGGGACAGCTACCCAGCATACAACGGAATATTTTTTCCAATCGATGCGGGTTTTAACGAAGTATGTTGCTTCCAGAATGTAAGATATAAATATATTATATATATTATATTTTATTTTTATTAATTATATTAATTCATTACTTGCAGGACGACAACCAATACGCAGTGGTTCGGTGAAGACGAACAGCACAGCTGCAGTAGTTCTGCACTCATAAGCACGAAAGGTGCACAAGTGAGTGATTGTGGATCGGAAGAGCTCGTAGAAGATGAGAGTGAGTTCCTTGAAGGCCAGGGCAGCCAACGCATCGAAAACATCAAACCGACGAAGAATCGTACAATCTACTGAATGATTTATGTAGAACGCTGCATACGGCGTTATTAACATCAAGCCATCAGACAGAATAAAAAATTAAAGAAGAATTTTCAGCCTTTGATGCACATCACCTGATTTTTTTTTTGGAAAAGTTATAACATTATCAATTTTTTTATAATTTTTGTGATGGATTGCATTTATTTTAAGCAGGAACCGTAAATAATTATTATTGTTGCGATTTTTGAATGAAAAAAATCAAACACTAATTTTACAATAAATAAAAAATAATTATTATTTTTTAACAAAAAATAGGAAAAAAATATATCATTAGTTTTGAGCAAAAAACAAAAAATTTTTTTTTGCACAGAATAAAACTCACTTTTAGATCACAGGTTTCTTATGAAGGTTTTTGCTAACTTTGAAGGTCCCTTTAGAACCATCTCAAGGAAGGTTATGGTATTATCACGCCCCCTTTCGCCCCTCCGAAAAAATGTAATATCAAACTTAATTATTGAACTTGGGTCTTGAAATTTAACACACAGGATACATAGTATATCCTTGTTTGCATGAATATTGCAAATTTTATCGCTATCGGATCCAAAACATGAAAGTTATTCAAAAAGTACTTGCTTCTTGGAGCATTGGTTGCTATTATTCTGCCATGTCTTGGTAGTAGTGTTTCAACTTTTTGGCGCCACTGATTTTGGTATCACTGTGATATTGGTCAACATAATCATGAAAACAGTAACTGCCATGGTTCCGAAAGCATTTTCAATGAGTAAAACGAATTGTTTATAACAAGCGAAGGCATAATGGTTATTGTACATCCACACCTGGCTATGGCAGGTAAATCTAAATCCCCATTGAACAATTTTTGTCCAAAACCCGAATTCCACAAAACTTCACGATCGCTTTGTGTACCAAAGGCACCAATGTCTATATAAATGTATAGTTTGCATCACAGTTTGCTAAAAGTACGATAAAGTAATTCCACAAACTATTTAATGTTTCAGAAATTATACTGTTCAGAGTCGACTATCCCATTTTGAATGTTGTAGAAAACATTTGTTAAGTGATTCCGTGAACTCTAAAACTGAAATGGTACATTTACTTAAAAACATTTTAACTTACACACTTATTACAAACTACTAACGTGAGAGTGAGGAAAAATCTGCATTTGGCGGCAATCGATGGACAGAAAAAAAAATTAAGACTAAAATCAGCAAGTTGAATAATGATAGACAATATACGGAAAGGCTAGAAATAAACAATGTGATATTCTGATAAAAAATTAGGAGAAACAAGAAAGAAATATAGTATTACAAGAAAAAGGTCCAATCCTTTTCACAACCAAAAATCAGAAGCTACCCAAATCAAAAATTAAAAGAAGAACAAAAACACAAAGCTCAGGCCACTTAAATTTTAGTTAGAGATAAAACTGAAGTTTAGTAGTAGCTAAGAAAAATGAGATAATCAGCATTGTTGAATTACAGATTTCCTTATATATGAAAAAAAATATATATATGTATATATACACACACTTATTTAGACTTAAAGTACTAAATAACAAGTAAGGAAGTTCTAAGTTCGAGTGTAACTGAACATTTTATACTCTCGCAATTCGCAAGAATCAAAGACCAGAAAATCCCTTTAGATGTGGCAAAACATTATATAGGTACAATATCTCCCTTCCGCTTTTTTGTCTTTTGAATTTCGCGGCTATGTACAAAGCGCTACAGAGCTCGTATCTGGCAACACTATACATAATTTGAAAGGTCTTGACATAACCTACAAAACAACGCTATGCATGATTAGTTTGGATATTGCGTTCAACAGTTATAGACGTGTAAACATGGAGTTCACTAACGCCGAAATTCGCGCTATTTTAAAGTTTTCCTTCGTTAAAGGCAAATCCGCTAGAGAAACGTTCCGTGAGATTAATGGTGTTTTGGGGGATGGTACTCTATCACTTCGAACCGCGGAGGAATGGTTTCGACGATTCAGAGCCGGTGAAAACGACACCATGGATAAGCCAGCCGGCGGAAGACCTGTGACGACAAATACCGATCAAATCATGGAATACATCGAGTTAGACCGGCATATGGCATCTCGTGACATCGCCCAGGAGATGGGAATTAGTCACCAAACCATTTTGAACCATCTGCAGAAGACTGGATACAAAAAAAAGTTTGATGTTTGGGTGCCGCATAATTTGACGCAAAAAAACCTTCTGGACCGAATCAACGCCTGCGATATGCTGCTGAAACGGAACGAACTCGTCCCATTCTTGAAGCGGATGGTGACTAGCGACGAAAAATGGATCACATACGACAATATCAAGCGAAAACGGCTCATCCACTATGAGCTGCTCCCATATGGCCAGACGCTTAATTCTACCATCTACTGCGAACAACTGAACCGCTTGAAGCAGGCGATCGACCAGAAGCGTCCAGAATTGGCCAACAGGAAGGGTGTAGTGTTCCACCAGGACAACGCCAGACCACACACTTCGTTGATGACTCGTCAGAAGCTACGGGAGCTCGGATGGGAGGTTTTATCGCATCTACCATATAGCCCGGACGTAGCGCCAGGTGATTACCACCTGTTCCTGTCCATGGCGAATGCCCTTGGTGGTGTGAAGTTGAACTCAAAAGAGGCTTGTGAAAAGTGGCTGTCCGAATTCTTCGCAAATAAGGAGGGGGCTTCTACGAGGAAGGTATTATGAAGTTGCCGTCTAGATGGAAACAGATCATCGAACAAAACGGCGCATATTTTAACTAAATCCGATCACTGTAACACTTTTTATAAAGCATTGAATGAGGAGCAAAAAAGCGGAAGGGAGATATTTGACTTATATTATATATACTATATTTATTGATTATTTTTTTGATCTAACAAACCGTATGCACCTGAAGGAAATGTTTGGTTACACTCGAAATTTGCTCCTACTTACTTGTTTAATATAAGGTTTTGCCGCACCTAAAGGAATTTCCTAGCCTTTGATTCTTGCGAATTGCGATAGTATAAAATGTTCGGCAATTATATTTAAGGCAGTTATGGTTAATGGTAATAGTAACAGAAATAAATTACCAACTTTGAGATCTTATCACAGTTATTGCTGTCTCGTGTATTTACTAATAAAGTAACCAAACATATAGCAATAAATATACTTATGTTCATTACTTCGTACTTTTTGTGATTTAAATATAATATAAACAGTTCAAGTTGTCGCAGTGTATTAAGACAATTTATTAGACTACCAGGTAATGTCTTTCACCTAAACAGGTCTTCATCATGAAAGTATCAGAGTGATTGTCTGGGCATTGGAATGACACTGACCAAAGGATATTTTTATTACATTGAAAGCAATAAATAACAAATTGAGCTGGTGCAAAATACCCAAGAGGGCAGCATTTAGTTAATAGGTTGATGCATAAGTAGCCAGCAATTGAAGAGTTTGCGTAATGCTCTTTTATAACATTAATTTGGTAGATGTGATGGTGACAGTTTATTATTTTGTGAGGAGGACACTCATTGATATATTTAATATAGCCTTTTATCATATAGCAGAAATTATAATATTTTCAGAATAATAAGAAAATTTCTTCTGTGGAAGAAATATAATTTATATTTTTTATTGAACAACTGATGAAAATCATAACCTTTCGGGTAAATACGCAACTTTTTAATGTATGTATATGTGAAAATAACTGGCGTATAAATTTTGCTTAAATGCTTGAGGAGCTTTATTTCTTTTGCAATTTGATCTTGTTTGTAAAATTGAGGGTTAGCTTTTCTCTAAAAGACTTATAATTTTCAATATGCAGGTGAGAGCGAATTAGATACAAAACACTTGCATACAAATTCGGGTGGCAATTATCATTCAGTGCTTCAGTACTTTGCAACTCTACTTTGACTGGTTCCATAGTGACAATTGTGAAATAGTTCCATTTCGATGAGTTCTATGGAAATTTTTTCTAAGATAACTTTAATGTAGTTCCAGGGTAGTGAGATTTACTAAGATTGTGGCCGAATGATTTCTTCCTCTCGAAAATTTGATAGTTTTTCGTTCCATTGTTATGTAATTTAAAATCGACGGGTACTTGCTCTTTAACCAAATGCTCAAGTATTACTCTGTTAAAATGTTGTTACAAGGCATACGTTGGTTATTTTACATACTTAATAATTAAATAATATTATATTAACAAGTAGGGAAGCTCTAAGTTCGGGTGTAACCGAACATTTTATATTCTCGCAAGGTAATATGAGATTTTCGTATATATTTTAGTATATATATATTTATTTGGTAAGGATTGCATTCATTATTTACATTCAAAGGTACACTACTATAAAAGGATCTCTTCAAATTTCATTCAGATTTTTTACATATTGACAGAATTTAGATCTAGAACACATAGACTAACCGACATGTTCCGTAAAAATAAGCCATATGCATATTTGGTGTCTGGGTCCTTGAAAAGTTATAGTCCGATTTCGATTTTTGGGTGGAAGATGAAATGTCTTAAGGGCACTATTTGTGGAAAGTTTTAGCGTAATAACTTTATTGGTGTTTGATTTGTATACTGTAAAGTTAAAGAATCAGATAGAATTTAAAAGTTTGTTATATGGGAAGTAAGCGTGATTGGGTAATCCAACGAACCAAATTTTGTTGAAAATGGTTAAGTAGATCCTGTAATACAGGATTTCACTTATTAAGCACTTCCTTGCCCTGCCATCCTGGGTGTGAAATTCAATGTTGTGCGCTCTTTTGTTCAGTGAGTTATCGCAACCAAACGTAATTTTCAACATAACAGGTTTATGAGGCGTGATTACTATTTGATTTTCTCTATTTTCACAGTATATAAATAAATGCTAAAAAACTTCTTCTCAGCAAGTTTTGAGATAGATTCAGTGGTTTGGGATTAACATTTAGAGGGCGGAGTCACGCCAATATTTAAAAATGTTTAGCCTGCATGTGAATGTTACCACTGCGATACCTTGCACCAAATTACAGTTTTGTATCTTAATTTAGTGCTTAGTTATGACACAATATCACCCCTCTTGGGCGCCAAGGAATACGCGTACCAAGTTTTATCAAGATATCTCAATTTTTAGCCAAGTTATTTCTTTCACGGACAGACAGTCACTCGGATTTCAACTCGTCTCGTCAGCCTGATCATTAATATATATACCTATATAACTCCATGTCTATCTTGA